TGCTGGCTGGCGGGGCCACGACCGGTGAGTCGGCCCGGGCCCTGGACCCCACCCCGACCTGTGACCGGAACCCCATGTTTGGACCTAATATTCCGGGCCCTGGACACACAGACCCAGACCTCTCAGTCCTGGGGCACCTCCAGACCCAAAGGCCCCCTTGATCTGAGGACCCCAGACTCAATGCCTTGCGACCTGGGGACCCAGAGAAGCCTAGACCCAGACCCTGGAACCCCAGATCCCAGACCTGGACCCTCAGACCCAGAGATCCCCCGAGCCTGGACCCCAAGCCTGGGATCTCAGACTCAGAACCCCAGGACCCCCAGACCTGAAAGCTGGCGTCCTAAACCCAAGACCCCCCAAGACCTAGAGACCCTCAGACAACTTCCTAGATGCCCACCCGTCACCCTGGTCTCTGAGGTTCCTGGGAACGTGCCCTGACCTCCCAGCGCCCCCTGAGCCTCGCACCTTACCAGGTACCTTCTCTCAAAATCCCCAGCTCTTCACCCCTTGGACCCGGCTCAGAGCCCATCCAGAGCCACCAGCTGGAGGCCCCGCCCTCTTGGAGGTCCCACACCAGCCCTGATTCCAGAAACGTCTCCCCACCCAGAAATCCCCACACAGCCCTCAGAGCACCCCGGCTTCCCTCCTGGGCCCCCCTCTTTGGTGACCTCTCTGACCTCTCCCCTGCAGCTGGTATGACAAGTCCTTCACCCTCATCGTCTTCTCCAACGGCAAGCTGGGCCTCAGCGTGGAGCACTCGTGGGCGGACTGCCCCGTCTCAGGGCACATGTGGGAGGTAGGGCAGCCCCCCCGCCCCCCCTGGGGACCACCACCCCCATTTCCAGAGACCTTCCTCCCCCGGGACTGAGGGTCAGAGGAGAAGCGGAGGCTGGGAGAGAGAAAGGAGAGACCGGCGAGAGCCACCCACCCAGCAAGGCAGGGGCCGGGGTGGGCAGTTGGGACTCAGAGAAGGGAGCTGATTTGCCCAGTCACAGAGCCAGGAGCACAGAGCAGGACTGTGAATCCGGAATGTTCTGAGGCCAGAATGAGGGGGCCTTTGAATCACATCATCATCGCTGAGTGACCCTGGGCAAGTTACTCCCCTCCATCCGGTGAAAGGCTGGGGTTCCTTTTATCTTTAAGTCCCATCCAGTCCTGAGAACCTCAAGTCTCCATTTTATTTCATTTTAAATCAGAGGGGGGGTGCCTGCCGCCCATCAGCCCTGTCTCCAGTGCTGCACGAGGGCTGGACGGGGCCCAGGGTGGGGAGCAGGGTGTGAGGGAGGGAGAGGCCCCTCCAGACCTCGGGAGCAGCCCAGATCCGCGCAGACTCCCCTGCGCCCGTTTCTCGTTTGTAAAATGGGAATATTTTGGCAAATGAGACACAGTTTAGTTCCACGTCAGACCCTCAGGCTGTTCACGTCCACATATCACCTCCGTATGTCCACGTTGAATGAGGAGATGTCGCTTAGAGTAAGATAGAGAGAAATGCCACGCTGGAGGGTAGCAGGTGCTCGATCAGGGTTGATTTAAAATAGTTTGCAGGCCTGGCCGGTGTGGCTAATGGTTGAGCGTCCACCTATGAACCAGGAGGTCATGGTTCGATTCCGGTCAGGGCACATGCCTGGGTTGGGGGCTCCATCCCCAGTGGGGGGCGTGCAGGAGGCAGCTGATCAATGATTCTTTCTCATCATTGATATTTCTATCTCCCTTTCCCTTCCTCTCTGAAATTAATAAAAATATATTTTTTAAAAATAAAATATTTAGCAATATTTAACAATATTTAACAATAATAAAAGCAGGGTGTGGGCCCTGCTCAGTCAGAATGGATGCTGAGGGGCGGTCCTCGGGAGGGTTGGGCAGCCGTTGGTGCTCTAAGAACCTGTCAGAAGGTCAGGGATAGGAAGCGCCGTTGGGTATTAGCATCGCTCCCGCTCTCGATGGACTTGAACCTGAGACCCCTCTTGTGAACATGAGGGGTTTCTCCTTCTCAGGGACTGACCCCAGGCTCAAAAGGGCCTGGTCCAAGAGGTCCCCGGTTAGATGGCTGCGGGCCAGAGGGAGGCAGGGACCCTGACTGCCTGCATTTATACACAGTTCACTCTGGCCACCGAATGCTTCCAGCTGGGCTACTCGGTGGACGGCCACTGCAAGGGCCATCCTGAGCCCTCCCTGCCCCGGCCCCAGCGGCTACACTGGGACCTTCCAGACAAGGTGAGTCTGGGCTGCCTGGCCTCTCCTCCGAGTCCCCAGATTCCTGGGTTTGACTCTAAACTCACTCATCCCCAAACTCAACCTCGAGACCAACCTCATCCCCTACTCCATCCCCAACCCAAACTCATCTCCACCCAACACCATCTCCATCCTAAATTCAATCCTGTTTCCAACACCAAACCCATCTGAAACCCCAACCCTAACTCCAGCCCAGCTCCAGCCCCAACCCTAACTTCGGTCCATCCACAGCCCCATTCCCGCCTGCAGTGGCATCCCTGTCTCCACCTATAACCTAGCCCAGTGATGGCGAACCTATGACACGCGTGTCAGAGGTGACACGCAAACTCATTTTTTTGGTTGATTTTTCTTTGTTAAATGGCATTTAAATATATAAAATAAATATCAAAAATATAAGTCTTTGTTTTACTATGGTTGCAAATATCAAAAAATTTCTATATGTGACACGGCACCAGAGTTAAGTTAGGGTTTTTCAAAATGCTGACACGCCGAGCTCAAAAGGTTCGCCATCACTGACCTAGCCCTGCAACTCCATTCCCTTCTTCGTCCCAACTTCCACGATCCACCCAACCCTAACTCCATCCCCATCGCCACTTCCGGCCTCATTCCCCACCTTCATCTTACCTCCATCTCTCACCCGGCCTCCCCTCCCCCCTCCCCTGGCAGGTCCACCTGTCCATCGCGCTCGCCCTGAGGGCAGCCAAGACCTTGTCCGGAGACACGGACTGCCACGTCTTCCCCTTCTCCCACTTCGGCAAGAGCTTCATCAAGCGCTGCCACCTGTCCTCAGACAGCTTCATCCAGGTGGCCTTGCAGCTGGCCCACTTCCGGGTCAGTGAGGTCCCCTGACCCCACCCCCTCTCAGGAACTCGGTTCCCTGGTCCCCCAAGACCTGCCACGGCAGCCCCTTTCATGACTCTTCTTGGCTATTGTGGGTCCACTATCTTTTTCCCCCCAGAGCTAGTTTTTTTTCTTCAATATTTTTATTTTTTTAATTTTTTAAATATTTTATTGATTTTTTATAGAGAAGAAGGGAGAGGGACAGAGAGTTAGAAACATCGATGAGAGAGATCGATCAGCTGCCTCCTGCACGCCCCCTACTGGGGATGTGCCCAAAACCCAGGTACATGCCCTTGACCGGAATTGAACCCGGGACCCTTCAGTCCGCAGGCTGACGCTCTATCCACTGAGCCAAACTGGTTGGGCAATTCAATATTTTTAGAGAGAGAAGAATGGAGAGGGAGAGAGAGAGAGAGAGAGAGAGAGAGAGAGAGAGAAACATTGATGTGACAGTGAAACCTTGATCAGCAGCCTCCTGCATGCCCCCTACTGGGGATGGAGCCTGCAACCCCTGCAGGTGCCCTGACTGGGGATAGAGCCAGCAACCTTTTTGTTGTTGTTGTTAATCCTCACCCGAGGATATTTTTCCATTGATTTTTTAGAGAGAGTAGAAGGGACAGGGAGAGATAGAGAGAAACACTGATGTTTAGAGAGAGACACATGGATTGGTTGCCTCCCACACGCACCCTGACCAGGGCCAGGATGGAGCCTGGAACTGAGGTACGTGCCCTTGACCAGAATCTAACCCTGGACCCTTCAGTCTGAGGGCTGACGCTCTATCCACTGAGCAACACTGGCTAGGGCGAGCCAGCAGCCTTTTGGTGCACAGGGCGATGCCCAGCCAAGTGAGTCTCACCGGAGGGCGGGTCTGCCATCTGGATTCCTCTCCCCCAACCACACCTTGCTGGGCGGGAGGAGGCTGCGGGTCCAGAGGTGGGTCACGTCTGCGAAGACTTCCTGAGCCCAGATGACAGTTCCTCTTCTCCTTGTCCCCCAGGACAGGGGTCACTTCTGCCTGACTTATGAGTCAGCCATGACGCGCCTGTTCCTGGAAGGCCGGACGGAGACGGTGCGGTCTTGCACGCGGGAAGCCTGCAACTTCGTGCGAGCCATGGAGGACAGAGAGAAGACAGTGGGTGTGAGCCTCAGCTGAGGCTTTGGTCACCTCCACATCCCCACTCATGCCCTTGCAGATGTTTACGGAGCACCTGCTGGGGGCGCGAGGGGCAGGGAGGACAGGCCTGGACTCGGACCTCGAGGAGCTCACTGATCGGGGAAACAGAGATAGTTCAGCATAGTGTGATACAGGCATATATATATACACATGAGAGAGATAACCATCCCTGATGAGAGATCATTGATCGGCTGCCTCCAGCACGCCCCCTACTGGGGATTGAGCCTGCAACCTGGGCATGTGCCCTGACGGGGAATCGAACCCTGACCTCCTGGTTCATAGGTTGACACGCAACCACTGAGCCACACCGGCTGGACTGATCTAGACTTTAATGGGGGTCTCACAGGACATGGGGGGGGAGCACCCAAGAGGGAGCCCTTTGCCACAATGCAGCCCTGATGAGTTAACCTATGTGACCTTGTGACTTACATTGGCACCATTGCCCTTGTTCCCTCTATAACCTCTCTGCTCAGACACCCGCCCCCCCACTCTGCCCCAGGCACCTCTGCTCCCTCTCCCCCTGCCTGTGTGGCTCAGTGGGAGGAGTTTCAGGAGGCCTGGGAACCCCTCTGCTTCTGCTTTGCTCGGTGTCCCTGGGCAGGTGACTTTTCCCCATTGAGCCCGTTTCCATCTGTAAAACAGGGCTGCTGTCTCTGCCTTGCAGGGGTGTTGCAGGCTGGGGTGAGGCCCCGGGTGTGACCGACCCCCCGCAGTAAGCCCACTTCCTGTTTTTCCATGACCTGCGACCTCCCCGGGACCCCAGGACTCCCAGTGCCTCTCCCTGTTCCGCCTGGCGGTGGACAAGCACCAGGCTCTGCTGAAGGCGGCCATGAGCGGGCAGGGCGTGGACCGCCACCTGTTCGCACTCCACATCGTGTCCCAGCTCCTCCACCTGCAGGCGCCCTTCCTGGACCAGGTTGGGGTGCAGGGCAAGGGCTAGAGACGAGGGAGGCACTTGGGGACAAGGAGGGGGATGTTGGGAAGAGGAGGTAACAGCAGAGGAGAGAGCTGGGGAGACCAGGCGAGAGGGAAGGGGAAGGGGGCGGGGCGATGGGGAGAGGGGCGTGGTCTCAGACAAATGGGAGGGGCTGGTCCCAGGGAGAGGGATGCTTGGTCACCTGGAAGAAGGGGGCGTGGCCTGGGAGAAAGGGGCGGGTCAGGAGCGGGGAGAAGAGCTGGGCGGGTTCCAGGAGGAGAGCGGAGAGGTGGTGGGGAAGGAGAAGGGCAGGGTGCAGCTGGGGGCAGATTTAGGGAAACCGGGCAGCCAGGGGGGCAGGTCAGAGAGGGCGAGGGCTGTGTGGCGTGGAGCGGAGCCCAGGGGGCGCGGACCTGCGAGTCTTTGTTTTTCTCTTTTTTTGGGGGGTGGGGTGTCTGTGACCATCCTCCTCCCTCAGGTTCACTCGGAGCAGTGGCAGCTGGCCACCAGCCAGATCCCTGTGCAGCAAACCCACCTGTTTGACGTCCACAACTACCCCGACTACGTGTCCTCCGGTGGAGGGTTTGGGCCTGTGAGTGGGACGGGCGGACCCGGCGCCCTGAACCCCGAGGCGGGTGCTGGCAGCCTGCACGCCTGCCTCCTGCCTCCTGGTGGGGAGGCACCTGGGCCCTTCTGTTCCCCGCCCCCTGTCCCTTTCCAGGTGGATGACCACGGCTACGGTGTTTCTTACATCTTCATGGGGGATGACACGGTCACCTTCCACATTTCCAGCAAAAAATCAAGCACAAAAACGGTGAGACCCGCCGAACCACCCGCCACCTCCTTCCTTCCTCAGGACCCAGGAGGCTGGACCCCTAGCTCCCTCCTCTCCAGAACCCGAGTCCAGACCCCCAGCCCCGAACTGCCCCCCCAGCCCAGGATTGGGTCCCCAGCCCCCCTGCAGGGGCCCCGCCCCCAGCTCCCCTTGGACGGGACCCATTCCTCCTTCCAGGACTCCCACCGGCTGGGGCAGCACATTGAGGACGCGCTGCTGGACGTGGCCTCCCTGTTCCAGGAGGGGCAGCGTCTGAAGCGAGGGTGCCGGGGGCGGGGGGAGGAGGACGCGGGGAACCGGCGTGGGTCTCTCCCCGGCCACTAGGGGCTCCGGGGCACCCCTGCCGCCCACCAACCTGTGATCTCTTCCGGCCGGACCTGGTCTCCCCGGGAAGTCGTGGGCGGGTCTCCGTGGCTGGGCTGGTGCAGGACGGAGGCACCCTGTTTGGGCTTGGAAACCCCACATCTGGTCCAATAAAGATGTGTGAGCTGGGTGTGTGGTCTCGCTATGCTCTTGGCCTGGGGGTGGGGGAGGGAGGAGACGGCCCCCCCAGCCCCAGGCCCAGCCATGAATTCCCAGTTACAAGCACAACCTCAGTGACAGCCCCTAGCACAGCGGTTCTCAACCTTCCGAATGCCGCGACCCTTTAATACAGCTCCTCATGTTGTGGTGACCCCCAACCATAACATTATTCTCGTTGCTACTTCATAACTGTAATTTTGCTACTGTTATGAATCGTCATGTAAATATCTGATCTGCAGGATGTATTTTCATTGTGACAAATTAAACACAATTAAAGCAGAGTGATTAATCACCAAAACAATATGTAATTATATATGTGTTTTCCGATGGTCTTAGGCGACCCCTGTGAAAGGGTCGTTCGACCCCCAGAGGGGTGGAGACCCACAGGTTGAGAACCGCTGCCCTAGCACCAGCCCAGTTTACTGCATTCCCACCTCCAGTCACACTAACCCAGTGGTCGGCAAACTGTGGCTCGAGAGCCACATGCGGGTCTTTGGCCCCTTGAGTGTGGCTCTTCCACAAAATACCACGTGCGGGCGCGCACATCGTGGCCCATGCGCAGAAGTCGGTATTTTGTGGAAGAGCCACACTCAAGGGGCCAAAGAGCCGCATGAGGCTGCCACAGTTTGCCGACCACTGCCTTAGAAGATACGTCAAGGATTCCGGAGGGTTTTCATATCCCCTAGGAAGTGGTTCTTGCTTCCAAGCCTGGCCTACACAACTTGATTACCAGACTCACAAAGCAGGGACTATAGTGTGGCACTCTCTTCTATCTATGGGGATGTATAGATGTAGCTCTTCAAGGCCTTTGACCTGAATTTTTACTTGAACTTTAGGGAAGTATTTATTTATGCAACTAAGTCAATTTGAATAGGTTTACTAGTATGTTGGGAATTCGCCTTGATTTTGCTGAGGAAGAGCCCCTACTCTTACTTCTGCACACATAGCACTTAAAAATTGACCTCACATAGAGCAGTCTTCAGGTTACCATGAGATTCATGAGAAAGAAAACAAAACACTGATGCTGTATGCATAGCTCTAACTATATGCTAATGAATCAAGGCTAAAGTTTCCAACTCTCTCTAAAAATAATGATGGATGGATTATGTGGTATCAAAATAATGATACTTAAAGTTGTGGGAGAATTTTAGTCCTTCCATTTGACAAGTTTTTCATTCTCAGATGAAAAACAATACATCAAAGAAATTATTTGTACCATGCCCCTCACACTTTACAATTTCAAGATTTATGATAAAGTTGCTGTAAGCACAATAGTGTGATACTGGCCTAAGGACAAGCGTAGGGACCAATGGAATAGAATAGAGAGCCCAGAAACAACCCTCATTATGTGGTCAGATGAACTCTGACAAAGGGACTCAAGGTCACTCAATGGGGAAAGGGCAGTCGTTTCAATAAAGGGTGCTAAAAATAAAAATAAATAAATAAATAAAATAAATGGTGCTAGGAAAACTGTGTACCCACATGCAAAAGAACCAAGCTGGACTCTTACCTCACTCCACATGGAAAAGTCAACTCAGAATGGGTCAAAGACCTAAATGGAAGAGCTAAAACCTTAAACTCTTAAAACAGGAGAACAGCTACATGCCACTGGATTTGGCAATGATTTCTTGGACATGACAGCAAAGCATAGGCAACACAAGAAAAATCTACAGATCCAACGCAATCCCCATCAGAATCCCAACAGCATTTTTTGCAAAAATAGAAAAATCCACTCTACGTTGAAGAGCCAAAACAATCTTGGAAAGGAAGCACCAAGTTGGAGGTTTCACACTTCACAATTTCAAGATTTATTATAAAGTTACTGTAAGCACAATAGTGTGGTACTGGCCTAAGGACAAGCATAGGGGCCAATGGAATAGAATAGAGAGCCCAGAAACAACCCTCATTTATGTGGTCAGATGAACTCTGACAAAGGGAGTCAAGGTCACTCAATGGGGAAAGGGCAGTCGTTTCAATAAATGGTGCTGGGAAAACTGAGTAGCCACATGCTAAAGAACCAAGCTGGACTCTTACCTCACTCCACATGGAAAAGTCAACTCAGAATGGGTCAAAGACCTAAATGGAAGAGCTAAAACCTTAAACTCTTAAAACAGGAGAACAGCTACATGCCACTGGATTTGGCAATGATTTCTTGGACATGACAGCAAAGCATAGGCAACACAAGAAAAAATAGATAAATTGGACGACATCAAAATCCACACCTGTGCATCAAAGGATATAACAGTGAAAAGACAACCCATGTAACGGGGAAAATATTTGCAAAGCATTTATCTGACTAGGAGTTAATATCCAGAACTACAACTCAACAGCAACAATAACAAAACAACCCCATTCAAAAACGGGCCAAGAACTTGAATAGACATTTCTCCAGAGAAAATATGCAAATGACAATAAGCACATGAAAAGATATTCGTGGTGGTTGCCAGGAGCTGGGAGAAATGGGGAGTGAGGTTTTGTTAAATGGGTACAGAATTGTCTTTGGGATGATGAAAAGTTCTGGAAAAAGATAGTAGTGATGGTTACACAACATTGTGAGTGTAATTCATGCCACTGATTTGTACACTTTTAATCCCCAAAATAATATTTTGAACAATTTCACTATTCTTGGTTGCTTTATGATGACATATTTGTCAAATATATTATATATGAAGTTTTAATGTTTATCTTCTCTTTAATCTTTCAGGACCAAACTGATTAGTGTTACCTTATATTTTATTTTATTTATTTTTAATATATTTTTATTGATTTCAGAGAAAAAGAGAGGGGGAGAGAGATAGAAACATCAATGATGAGAGACAATCATTGATCAGCTGCCTCCTGCACTCCCCTACTGGGGATCAAACCTGCAACCTGGGCATGTGCCATAACCGGGCATCGAACCGTGACCTCCTGGTTCATAGATTGACTATCAGTCACTGAGCCACACCAACTAGGGCATGTTACCTTATATTTTAAAACATAGGCTTTAGACCTAGCTTATTCTCTATAGAAAAAAAAAAGTGGCTTCTTTCATTTACTTATTTCTTCAGAAGACCTTTAGAATAATTGGGTTAAATCTTCTAAAAATAATCTAATGGGGATCTTGATTCAACTTGCATTAAAGATGTCATTTGGATGGAGTTAACCTCAGCACGGCATTCAGACTAGCTATCCAGAAAAACAGTCTTTCATGCAGTCAAGTTCTCTTAAAAATATATTTGGGCCTTACAGGTATTGGATGACTCGTTGTCGCTGGCCCCTGGCACGCTCTGCGGTTAAGTGTGCCAGTTATTAAGCTATTATCTCTTGGTTTCAAATCCATCCCCCTCTTTTTCTTTTTTTTTTAAATATGTTTTATTAATTTTTTAAAGAGAGGAAGGGAGAGGGATAGAGAGTCAGAAATATCAATGTGAGAGAAACATCGACCAGCTGCCTCCTGCACACCCCCCACTGGGAATGTGCCCGCAACCAAGGTTCGTGCCCTTGACCGGAATCGAACCGGTGACCCTTCAGTCCTCAGGCCGACGCTCTATCCACTGAGCCAAACCGGTCAGGGCCATCCCCCTCGTCTGGGCTTGGTGAATCTGAGGTTGGGACTCTGAAAACCACTTCCGCTTCGCCCACCGGCTGTGCTGCACTTGGCCAGGAGGGGGCACCAACGAGACCCGACGCCCGGAGGACGTCAAGGGGACGCGCTCCTTCCTGTTGGCTCTCTGCTCATTTCCCGTCAGTTTCCGGTTCCCATCAGCATCACCCAGCAGTTTTTTCACCCTGGCTGAGGCGGTTCCTTCTGGTAACCGCTGGTAAGTCTAGTTTGCAACTTTTCCGAATCTTGCACACCCTCCG